TTAATACTAAACCTATAAATAAATGCAAAATAGATCTATTTCCCTATATTTACATATGTACATGCCTCTATTTAGACCTTTATAAATGCCCTTTGCCTCCTAGTTCGTTCCTCCATTTCCTTTTACTTTTCTCTTGTCCCACTATTACAAGCATATTTTTTTCATCATATTTTGAGATCCACAGTTGTACGACCACTGACCATGAACCATAAGTAACATAACTTTATGTATCCCTTTTATTTTTATGGTTTAGGGCAACAATTTTATATTATCTAAACATTTTTTAGGATTTTACTTGTGGAACCTTGTAAAACACATAATCTATCTTAGAATTCAATTGCATTGTAATAGCACACGGAAATCCAAGAAATTTCTAAATTAAAATATTCAAACTTACATAGTTCCAGATGTAGTTGGTACAATTGGTATATCTTCGGCTTCTAAGGGTATTGACCAGGGGATATGAAACTGTGGAGCAAGCTCTCGCATTACAGTATTGCTTAAGAAGCAAGCAAGTAAATAAAGAAATTAAAAATCAGTTCATTTTAAGTAAAACTGGTACACAACAGTAAATAATCACAAAGATTACAATTACATCATTAAAAAAAAATGAATCCTGATTAAAAAAAAAATTAAATCAGTTCTAAATTCGTGCATCAAAAAACACTACTGAAAACATACAAATTAACAATTATTTGCTTAAAATTTAAAAATATAAATCTTATTGAATTTGAGAAATCATAATAATTATATCATATTTAATTACATACATTCTCAAATCTAAATGTGCCTCCTCTGTGTAATCACTGTTCCTTTTCTTCACAGTTTAAACATTAATAAAGCTAACTAGACAGTCTGTTCATTTTCTTTTAAATGCTCTACATTTAATTTTTAAAAATAATTTTATTGGCACAATCTACATATCATACAATTTAATAGTGCAATCACAACAAGAAGAGTTCTATCATCATTACCACAATTTTAGAATCATGCCCATTTTAAACAAATTTGTCTGTAAAATATTTTATTAACACAACAATGGAAACATCTAAGTGTTTTTTGTATTGTCAAATTTCGCACGTACTACTGTTGGAATTCTTTGCAATTTCACTTTAAGAACAAGTTCCCTAGCTTTGAAGCATACTATTAAAAGTTAATTCCAATTATGAAGTAACATCCTGACTCATGGGTCCCCAAACTTATTTGGCCTACCACTCCCTTTACAGAAAAAAATATTACTCAGAGCCCACCTGCCAATTAACTTGCACTATACCCTTAGTCCAGGATACAATGTGGGTATCTGCTTTTTTTAGGTAATTCCAGTACCTTCCAGGAGACAGTATCACCCACTGTGGGAAACACTGTACTCTTAAACTTTTAAGTTTCTGGTGGTTTTGCCATATATTCTTTGAAATCATTAAAAACATATTTATTGACTTGCTAGTTTTCTGGGCCAAGATATAGGAGACTGTGTCAAAGAATATAAAAGTGCATCTCTGTATGCAATTATTTTATATTCATTTGATAATCTTATGAGATTATCTAAAAGTAAGACATACTAGCAGAAACAATGCTCTCAAGAATATTCAATTAAAAAAATTTTTTAGTCTATTTATTTCATGAATAGTTCATTTAATTCCAGGAACAGCATTAAATCTTTTCAGTTATAAATATACAGCAAGAACTACAAGAACAAAGTTCTGTATTCAATGAATGAGCCATTTTGATCCATATTACCATATTACAGCATTTCTCAATATACAAAGTTAAAATACCTTTAACCTTTCATCTACATACTGATCATAAATTAAACTGCATTTGAAAGCTCACAATATAATCCAGCAGCTGGAATAGTCTTTGGAGATACTAGTTTATGAATACTGGTATTTACTCTAGATCTGGTTTCTGAATTACTAGCATGCATTAGTCGTAACTAAAGGGGAAAGAAAAATAAAGGAAAAAAAATCTTACCCAAGTATTTTTGCACAATCATCATAATACTTCATGGAATTTTTCACAAAACTGAAGCCATTGACATCACACACATATGACTGTCCATTGGCCCGCAACAAATCAAAGCCACAAACTGTTTGCTTATGAAAATAAATGATAAACTATATATAATTTTGAATCATTAAGATGAACAATTTTCCCATCTTACTAGTATATATAAAATTTTAGCAATACTGAAGAGTATATTAAAGTGTATTGGTGTATTTCACAGTTAAGTATAAAATGATAGCAATTAATTATCTGTAACTCGACTGCTTTATGGATACATTATACATATCACATAATTACATAAGTTCTTTACCATCAATCAGATAAAGAATAATGTTTATGGGACTAGAAAAGGCAGAAAAGAATTACATCAAAGAGTCCTGAAAATAAAAGTGACTTAAACAAAAATAAGCATATGGTTTTCTGAGTAATTAAAAATAAGAATTTTTCCCACATTAGCAGAATGTACATCATTTTACAAGAAAAAACACAAAGGAGGGAAGGGAAAAGGAAACAAGAAAGAAAACAGTGAGACAGGGCGGGGGAGAGGGGGAGGGAGGGGGAAAAATGAGCAAACGATACTGAGGGCTAAAGTAGAGGGCAAATGTCTTGAGATTGATGAGGGCAACAGGTGTACATAGGTGCTTGACTCAATGGATGTATGTATGGACTGTGATAAGAATTGTACGAGCCCTCCATAAAATAATTTTAAAAAATAATAATGAGGGCAACAAATGTACAAATGTGCTTTATACAATTGATGTATGTATGGATTGTGATGAGTTGGATGAGCCCCCAATAAAATGACTTAAAAAAAAAAAAGGAGTGAGAAAATGTCAGTTAAAGCCTCAAGAAAATAAGCAATTAGCCCCATGAAACATTTAAGCACTAAAAACCACATACTTGTGAGAATCTACAAGAAATGTATTTGTGGAGAACAAAGTAACTTAGAGGTATCAATTTCATGCTTTCAGAAGTTTTCTGGTCTTCTCTACTTAATGCTCAAACCATCACATATCATCAATATATTATAATTTTACATCATGTTTTTAAAAAATATACTGCACTAAATAATTAAAATTGTTTATCTAAAGCTAATGTATCCACAAGCTAATATTCCTTTCATAAAACAAACTAAATGTGAGGGGGCTTAAAATTCATGGAAAAACTTTATTACCTTAAAATTCTATTTTTCCACAAACTTTTGAAGCCCCTTATATTGTTCAGACAGACTCTATGTTAAAGTTCTAAAAAAGTGAAATTTTCCTTATTAAATGCAGGTGGTACTACTGATATTTAAATCTTTACTTTATAAGATAGAGCAAGATAAAAGCCTCACAATAAAGATTAATTGAAATACAAAAATTAAAAAGGCTGTTTTATTTTAAATTCTTAAATATGCCACTAAACACTGATTAGCCTGCTTTTAACTGTTATCCTTAGAAATTTTAATTTTTTTCCATAAATTCACATGGTTCTGTTGTCTATCACAGAAATATAGAGAAATAACAAATTCACTATGGTTTTATTATCAGCATGTCAAATATAACATTAAAAATGCATGAACTGTTTATATGTGTCAATTAGTTTCTCAGCTTAAACAAGTAAATCCTTTGGAAAGGATTGTGACCTTTGCAAAGTAGACTGCGAAGCCCTTTGGTTAGTACCAACCTAACAATTAGGACCTGAGCACTCAAATTATTTGTGCCACCCAGGGGCTCCTTTCTTAGCTTATTTATCCAGTTATAAACCCAAGCAGCTTATCCACAAAGGCGAAAACTGGAATTCCTTTTACAAGGGTCTGTACAACCTGTACAGGAGCTCTCGTGACCCAGTGCATCGGGCTGCTAACTGCAAGGTCAGCCATTTCAAAGGGTCATTATGAGTCAGAATGGACTACATGGCAGTGAGTTTAGGTTTGGTATAGCCAGGTGGTACAATGGTTATGTTAAAGACCTTGGCCACTAAGCAAACAGTTGGTAATTAAAACACACCAACTGCTTCATGGGAAAGACGTGTGAGACGAGTTCCAAGGAGATTACAGCCATGGAACCCTTATGGTGCAGTACTTCTGCCACACATAAAGTCACCAGGAGTTGGAGTCTACCACTTCTCTGTCAGTTTGTCATACTGCAAGTGGCTTGGGTGCTGCTGTGCTACTGGAATTTATGTCACTGGCATTTCAAATGCATGCAGGGTCATCCAAAGTAAACCGGTTTCAGTGGAACTTGCAGACTAAGAACAAACTATGAAAAAGGAGTCTGCTGACCACTTCAAAGGAAGTAGCCACTGAAAACCTAAAATATAGCATGAAAACAATGCCAGATATTAAAGGCCTAATGAATGGAAGCAGAACATTGTCAGAGATAGTGCTGCAGGCACTCTAAATTGTGACCGATGAGGAGCGGCTTCTCAAAGTAGAGTTGTCCACAGTGAGGTGAATGGAATAAAGCCTGTGGCAGTGGAGCCTTCGGGATGTTCATTTGCTGAAGAGGTACAATTCAAAGGGAGAAGAAACAGCATCAAAGATCTAATTACTAGAATTCTGAAGTATGAATTTAGGAAGATTGAAATTAGTCAAAAAAATGAAATGGAATGAAAAAACATAGATATCTGAGGCATACTTAGGGAACGCTGGTAGTGTAGGGATTACAGGTTAAGCTGCGAACTGCAAGGTCTGCAGTTTGAAACCACCTGCCATTCCATGGGAGAAACACAGGGCTTTCTACTCCTAATAAAGAGTTACAGTTTCATAAACTCACAGGGGAAGTTCCACCTTGTCTTATAGGGTCACAATGATTCAGCATTGACATAGCAGTGAGTTTGTTGGGCAGCATCACTAACCTGAAATTGATTGGTATTGGCCATTTTTAATCAGAAAATCATATGGCTTACTATTCTAGGAATGACACAGTCAAAAGGAATGGCCTTGCATTCATTGTAAAAAGGACATTTCAAGATCTATCTTGATGTACAATGCTGTGATAGGATTATATCAGTTCGCTTTCAAGGAAATCCAATCAATACTACTATTACTCAAATTTATTCATCAACCACAAAAGTTACCAACGACTTTAGTCTGAAATATATTGATAAGATATATTGATAATGACAGGTGTTTGAAATGCAAAAATTAGAAACTAAGAGGAAGGAACAGGAGTTGGAAAATCTGGACCTGGTAATAGAAACAAAGCTGGAGATCGCATGACAGACTTTTGCAAGACCAAAGACTTAGCTAATACCCCTGTTGAGCAACACCATACAGATGTATTTCTCCAGATGGACTACATAGAAATCCAACTGACAACATCTGTGAGAAGAGAGAATGGTGAAGAGCTCAATGTTAGCACCTAAAATCAGGCCAAAGGGTGACTAGGGAACAGACCATCAATTGCTCATGTAGCAGTTTAAGTCAAAGCTAAAGAAAGTGAAAACAAGTCTGCAAGAACCAAAATATGACCTTGAGTCTATTCCACCTGAATGTCAAGAAAATCTCAAAAACAGATGTAATGCATTGAACACTAATAGAAGAAATGAAGAGCTATGGGAGGACATCAAGATTATTCATGAACAAAGCAAAAAGTCATTAAAAATATAAGAAAGGAAGAAAATATCTAAGTGATGTCAGAAGAGACACTGAAACTTGCTCTTGACCACAGAATAGCTAAAGCAAATGGAAGAAAAGATGAAGGCCAAGAGCTCAACAGAAAATTTCAAATAGCAACTCAAGAAGACAAAGCCAAGTATTATAATGAAATGTGTAAAGATCTAAAGTTAGAAAACCAAAAAGGAAGAAACACTCAGTCTTTACTAAAAGAACTACAGATAAAATTCAAGCTTTGAGGTGAAATATTAAAAGATTTTATGGGCAAAATATTGTATGATGCAGGAAGCATCAAAAGAAGATGGAAAGAACAGACAAAATCTCTGTACCAAAAAGAACTCGTTGGCATTCAACCATTTTAGGAGCTAGCAGATGAGCAAGAACCAGTAATACTAAAGGCAGAAGTCCAAGCTGCACTGCAAGTATTGGTCAAAAATGAGGCTCCAGGAATAGATGCAATGCCAACTGAAATGTTTCAACAAGCTGCTGAAGCACTTACTGGTCTATACCAGGATGTTTGCAAGAAAACTAGTTGGCCAATTAACTGGAAAAGATCCATATTTGTGCCATTCCTAAGAAAGATGAACCAACAAAGTGCTCAAATTATAAAACATCATTGATATCACATGCAAGTAAAATTTTTCTGAAGATTATCCAACAATGGTTGCAGCAGTAGAATGACAGGGACCTGCCAGAGGTACAGGCTAGATCCAGAAGAGGACATCAAACGAGAACTATCACTGCTGATGTCAGAGGGATCTGGGCTCACAACAGAGGATTTTTACTTGTTTTGTTGACTATGCCCATATTCAACTGTGGATAATAACAAAGTACGGGTAGCCTTGAGAAAAATGGGAATTCCAAAACATTTCATTGTGTTCACACAGAACTTGTGCATGGATTAAGAGGCAGCTGTGTTAACTGAACAAGGGAAAAACTGCACGGTTTAAAATTAGGAAAGGTGTGCTTCAGGGCTATATCCTCTCACCATACTTCTTCGATCTGTATGCAGAGATAATCATTAGAGAAGCTGGACTGTATTAAGAACCCAGTATCAGGATTGGAAGAATTAACAACCTGCAATATGCAGATGACATAACCTTGGTTGCCAAAAGTGAGGAGAATTTTAAGCACTAGCTGATGAAGATCAAAGATTGCAGCCTTCAGTATGAGTTACAACTCAATGTAACGAAGACCAAAATCCTCACAACTAGACAAAATAGATACCAACATAACGGAGGAAAAACTGAAGTTAACAAAGATTTTGACTTGTATGGAGTCAGTCAAAGCTCATGGAAATACCAGTCAAGAGATCAAAAGACAAGTTGCATTAGGTAAATCCGCTGTACAAGACCTCTTTAGAGTATTGAAAAGTAAGGCTGTAACTTTCAGGATAAAGGTATGCCTAAGCCAAGCCATAGTATTTTCCATTGCCTCATATGCATGTGAAAATTACGACACTAAATAAGAAAGTACAATGGACTGCCAACGTGATAGACAAATCTGCCTTGGAGGAAGTACAGTCAGAGTACAGCCAGAGCACTGCTCCAAGGCAAGGAAAGGATGGTGAGATTTCATCTTACTTACTTTGGTCATGTTTTCAGGAGAGACCAGTCCCTAGCTAAAGACATCATAAAGCTTGGTAAAGCTGACGGGAAGCAAAAGAGAGGAAATCCGTCAATGAGATGGACGGATACTGGCTATACCAATGGGCTCAAATGTAGGAAGAATTGGGAGGACAGTGCAGGACCGGGCAGTGTCTCTCTGTTGTGCACAGGGTCACTATAGGTTGGAACCGACTCCAGGGCACCAAACAACATGAGCTAGAACTGACTTGAGGGCAAGAAGATTTTTATATTGTCCATATAAATATCTTTACCTTAAACGCAAGGCAGACTTTCCAAGCAATTAATTTCTCTCTTGCATTGAGAATAACAGGGTATCTGACTTCTTTTCCTTCACTATCTCGTTCCACTTTGCCATCAAGTGCTGGAGATTTTCGAGCTTCAGCATGGGCATAATCTGGACCCACTGTATAAACCTTTATGAATAATTAAAACACACAAATCAACACCATCAGTCAATTTTCTCTTGAATCAATAAAAAATACTTCAGGATCCAGATTATTGAATAGACACATCTCTGTTTTATGTATCAGGTATTTTAATGTACTGGAAGGTTACAAATAACTTGGTCATATTACAAAGTGAGGTTCGATCCTCTATAAAAAAAACATTTTACTGAGTATTATAAAGGAATACTAGGATGTAGATGTTGTAATTTCATTTCATTTTAACATAAAATATGATTAACTATAAAACATTATAGATCGTAATAACTGCTATCTTAATTATCTACAGCTGCTATAAAAGCAATACCGTAAGTAGATTGCTCTAACAATATTTTCTCATAGATTAAAAGGCTAGTCGCCATATTTAGGGGCCAGCTCTAGAAGAAGACTGTCAGCTCTGGGGAATGGTCCTTGGCTCCTTGCAATAATTGTGGGCTTGGCATCCCTTGGAGGTCCCCAGTTATTTGGGTATGAGTCTTCTCCAAAGTCTAGGAGGGTGTCAGCACAAGGAACTAGTTCCAAAGGAAGTGTTCTGCTCCTGGGTTTTCTTTCTGGGTGGTATTCAGGGTCCTCCCTGCTTGCTTTTCTCCCCTTTTATTCCTTATAAAAGGTGATGCAAACTACAAACCCAGGAAAAATCCCTTAACATCAAATCAGCGCTAAGACTTGATTAAGCGTGCTGCATCGAACCCTAATCCATCCCTTTACAGCTGATTGGCTGATCACAAGAGATTACATCATTAAGATTGATTACAATATTAAACAATCACCAAATAAAAATTATGGCATAGAAAGTTGTCATATATTTGGGGAGACACAATTCACTCAATGACATTACACCAAAAAAAGTTAAGAAAAAAAAAATATGCTCTTGCCACATGGCAAAATATCTTCATCCTATCATATCATCCCAAAAGTCTTAAATCAATTCCAAGTCCAAATTCTATCTTGAGACAAAAATTCCTTTTGACCTGTGCCTCTAGAATACAAGTTACCTGTTTCTAATGTATAATAGGGGAACAGGCACAAGGTAGACATTTCTGCCCAAATGGCTGCTAGCTCTAGGAAAAAGCTGTTTCTCACTGTTGGTTCTAGGGGAATGTTCTTTGTCTCCTTTCATTATCTATGAGCTTGATGGTCCTTGGCAATCTCCGTGTCTTGGCATTTATCTGTCCAGAGGTCCAGAAGGTTCTCAGCTCAAGGATCCTGAGTCTAAATGACAAATTCCATTCTAATCTCTTTTCTCTTGATTGTACTTAGGTTCCCCTCTCACTCACTTCTCTCTCTTTTTAACTCTTATCCAATATAAAAGATGATGCAGGCCATGCTCCAAAGAAACTCCCTTGATGTGACTTGAGTAAGGGGGTACTATACCACCTTAATATCTCTATTGGTGCAATGGCCCTGCCAACTTGACACCTATTTTTGAGGGATACAATTCAATTTCTAAGCAGGAGAAGGACAGAATATGAACCCGAAGGCAGAAAGAAGGGAAATTTAGCACAATAAGAGCTAATAAATACAAAGGCATGAGGCAGCATGATTTATTCAAATAATATAAAGTTAATTTGATAGTTTATGCTGTACAAAATGATGTTTGTAATACAGACAATTAGCTAGACTGAAATATCTTGTATGCCAGGCTTATAAATTTGGGTATTATCTTGTTGATAAAAACCCATGGAGAATTTTTAAGAAGTTCATAATCAGATCTACAGTGTATAAAGAATATTCTGGTTAGACAGAAATGAATTAAAGGTAAAATATTAACACAATTTAATATGATATTTTTATATCACAATACAGTTGTTTCAGATCCCAATACACAATTTGTACTAATCACTGTTGGAGAATTGTGGTGGCTAATCCAGCTCTGTCAAATGAATTATACTACTTAATGCCCTTTTAAGGATGAGTATACCTTGAAATAAATTTAGTTTATATATTTATAACAACATTTCAAGAAAATGTGTTTCCCTTGTAGTCCTGTGCTTTATTTAAGCATTTAGGACACTAACATACGGGTCCGTGAGCTGCAGACTGCCAAACGCATTCCCAGTATACAAAAGAAACTCACTCCTGGTCAAAGAGTGACAGAACAAAAATTCCATCAAACCATCTAAAGTGTCACTTCTTTCTGAGATCACTGGCATATTCAAAATACAAAATTAAAATATACTGTTAATCAATGTTACCTTAACATCAGTACCATCTGTAGGCATAAATTCTTCATATATATATGAGCCTGTTTTTCGTACATTGCTTTCTGGAGAATAGATACTACTTCTACTGCCAATCTGAAAGTAAAAGGTGTCCATTAAATATGTTTTCCTCATTTTTACAACATATCCCTTTTGCTATCTATTGCTGTTAAATAAATTCTGACTCATAGTAATCTCCTGTACCAGAGTAGAACTCTGCTGTTAAGAGTTTTCAAGTATATACAGTAACTGAAATACCTTGCTTTTACAATGTATATCAATTTCATAAATTTATCTCTAAATGTTATGAATTTATGATTACAAGATTTAATAAGTTTTATTAAGTACTTGATGGCTTTGATGGGCCAACAACAGTATTTACTAGGACTATAAAGATGTACCTTTCGAAAGAGTCTTTGACTTCCACCACCTGCAGACGTTGGATAATAAATGTAAACATTGTGATCTTCTGCACTAACTGGCTTTTCTACAAATGGTTTTTGGAAAACTTCTCCATTTACTTCAACATGATCTTCCCCTTCAATCAAATTGCACTCTATAAATCAAACATATTAGCAAGAAAAGTTACATCCTGCATAATAATAGGAGCCCTTATGGTGTAATGGTTACATGCTGGGCTGGGATCTGCATGGTCAGCTGTTTGATACCACCAGCAGTTACTCAGGAGAAAGACTGGGTTTCTACTCCTGTAAACAGTTACAGTCTTAGAAACCCATAGGGGAGGTCCACATGACTCAGCACTGTTTTGATGGCAGGGAGTGTGGTTTTGCTTTTATTGCTGTCTAGATAGACAAAAACTAGCTGATATTGAATTGACTGACTCAGAATACCCTAGTGTGTCAAAGTAGAACTACAGTATTTCAATACCTCCTGTTTGGGGAATAATCACCAGGCCTTTCTTCTATGGCACCTTTGCAGATTTAAACCTCCAACATTTCAGTTAGTAGCTAAGCTCGTTAACCATTTGCCCAGACCACACTATTGTTTAGAACTTAAAAAAAAAAATTAAACCAGAATAAATATTACAAAGAAAAGCGATCTTAATGAAATGATTTGATACTAAGTAAAATCATTTTTGCAAACAGTATATTAGGAACCACATTTGTTTTATGAAATCTTATCAATGTGTCATTTTGCTATACTGTGCTACAGAATTTGTTAGAGTGTTGCCATCTTCTGAAAAATATATGGATCTGTATCACAGCACACATGAATTTGTGTGTTTGAAAATAAATTTATGTGTTAGAAAAATGACCTATAAATAGAATAAGCAAACAATCTAATAAGAAAATTATTATTTTAGCTCTAGACCAAATAATAAATGTTCGATCTACATGGGTCTTTTAAAAAACTGAGAACCCTGCATATTGAACCACCTGGATTCAAAAGCCATGCTATCAAAGGAACAGCAGTAGAACTACGGGGCAGAGCATGAGACAGAATAGTGGACTTCCCAACCCATGGAGCAAGTAAAGCTAAGTGTGCTGTGAAGGAGGCTTACTTCTGGAATGGGGTGATTCTCTGGCTGACCAACAGAACTTGAGCTGAATTGCCTTCCAGCTGAGGCTTACAGCTGAGTAGTATGCCCTTTGGGTATTTACTGGCAACCAAGAAATGACTGTAACACTCGTGATGAGTGTTGCTCATCCTGAGCATCTATCCTGAGCATTTCTCACTTGCATTATAGCCCTTCACTTACTTAATAAACCCTTTTAACCACGAATTGTGTCAGTACCTTCTGTGTAGCCAATACAATGATTAGAACTTAAATATGAAAGTAGAAAATACTAGTTAAGACAACAGTTTCTAATATCAATAGATGAATCACCTGTTTATCCCTTTTCAATGCAAATGAACTGTGTACATTTAAATTCTTTATAATTCTCAGATCCAGTGTACAACAGAGAAAAGAGTAACTCCCAAATTATATTGTTTAAATAACTGCCTATTTACTGAACCTGGGGTATATTAGATATACAACCAAAGTGTTTTCACACACACAAAAAATTGGCACGCAACAGTTGTTTTAAGGTGGAAACACAGTCACCTTATCAATGAACTGTTGCAAGAATTTCAACCAAGGTTGAAAACATTGTTTATCTTGAACATGAAAACCTGTAACAAATTTAAATCAATTATATGAACTTGTTACTTGTAGTTTTCCCTTGTAAAGATTTATTTTATTTTATTGTATTTTTAAACATTTTATTAGGGGCTCATACAACTGTTATTGCAATCCATACACACATCAATTGTGTAAAGCGCATT